ATTCATAATATTCTTCTGTATTCATAATTGTTACTGGATTAGTTGAAAAATCTACTATCCATTCATTAGTATTCATTATCTGTAAAGGCTCTGATACCAATTTTTCAAAGTTGAGATGCGGAGCGTAAAATCTGGATTATTTATGACAATGGATTCCGACTGGCATACAAGTATTAAATAACTCTGATACTATTTGGAACGACTCGAGTCCCACTTAACGGGTTGTCTCGACCGTTAGATCGACGGCGTATTATCCCCACGGTACCAACATGGATCTTTTCAGCATGTTTTGTCCTCACTCACACGCTCCCCAAGAAAACTTCCCAGGGAGTCACCTATTATAAAATTGCTCCAAGCCAAGCAAGTTTAATTGTGGAGTTTCTAACGACGGAGTTCCAAAAAGAAGGTGCACCTTGTTGGTATGAGTAGTACTTATCAAATTTTTTAAGCTTTCCTGGTCTGGGTACTACAATGACCCGGGTCCCACTTAACGGGCTGTCTCGACCGTTAGATCGACGACATACTATCCCCACTGTACCAACATGGGTCTTTTCAGCATACTTTGTCCTCACTCGCATGCTCCCCAAGAAAACTTCTCGGGGGGTCACCCATCATAGAATTGCTCTAAGCCAGTACACTTAACTGTAGAGTTTCTAACAATGGACTTCAGGAAAAGAAGGTGCACCTTATTGGTATGAGTAATACCTATCAAATCTTTTAAGCTTTCTTAGTTTGGGTATTACATCTAGTATCAATCCCTTAATAAGTGAATCCATAGCCATGGAGTTTGTCCCGATATGCTTTGATGACACTTGTCTACTATGAACTCTTTCTTTAACAGTCAGAAACTTGATCTCTATATGTCTAGACTTTGTCAAGCTCATGATGTTATTAGAATATAGCACTGCTGATTTGTTGTCACAAAATAATTTGAGTAGTCTTTCTATACTGTCCATAATACGCAGCCTAGTGACAAAATTTCGCAGCCATATTCCATTATT